AGTTTTATTCCTATTTCTGAAGGTTTTTACTGAGGGATTTGTTGTTTTTTGGCTCCTGACAGTATTTTCTAATATTTATGGAGCAATAAAGTCAGATTCCCTCTGTAAAAACCTTTGACTCTAATATGTCAACACAATGAAACCTGACTTTATCCAATATTCAGATTTATATTCTGGTGAAAGACAAATGGAGAAATCTGAATCAAAGTGTATTTTTAATCTTAATGAAAGTGTATTTGTTTGTGTTCACTGGGAGGCCGACGGTACTTTGGCCTGTGTCAGATGTACAAACTGATAAACATCCAGTGAATGAATGATCGACGTCTGCTGTGGTACGATGCCCTGAAACTGTTTACGGGTGAATATCTTCGTTTTAAATGTGAGATAAACGACTGTCATAACCAAACCTTCAGATAAACGAAATTGGTTTTATGTTTTCTTTTGTTATATATTGTTAAATATGGGAACAATATAACTGATCTTAAAGGGTTAAAAGGATATTTTTCATTTCGCCTGAACTTTAAAGAATCAGAAATGTAAAAAACTGGGATTAAACTTATAAAACCACCAGTGGAACTAAAGGCCAGGCCCATACTGTATGTATATTATATGTATATTATATTATATTGTATGTACATTATAAAGATTAAACTGAAAACATCAATAGTGATCTGAACGGAACAACAGTCAATATAAATTAACAACCTTTTTAAAACGAGGTTAAAATCATGTGTGGTGATAATATTCAGTAGTGACCATAAAGCCGATATCTTATCCTGGAACCTGGTTTACACCCAGTATTTACACACACACACACACACACACACACACCTGAAACGTGTGTGTGGACACGCCTGCACAGACAGAACTGAGGGCACGCGTTAACACAGCTCAGACAGGTCGGCTCATATTCCTGCAAATATTTACTGAGTCTCATCAGGAGGGTGAAGAGAACAAAACAGGACTTGAAACATGAGAATCTCCTGAAGCAGAGAGGACAGATCCTGCAGTGGTTGGATCAGAGGGTTGTTTCCCCTCCGCTCTGACTGAAGGTTTATGAGTCAGTGTGACTGCAGCCTGTTTGTCTCTCAGCTCGTCCTGCACGTCACACTCAGGAGGAAACTCTCACGAAGCTTCCAGATGTCTCCAGACTTTACAGGAGAGGTTCACAAACAGCTGTTAGCAGATGTGGAGACACAGAGAAACATTATGAGTCAATAATAAATAACTTTATAACTTGTTGTTGTCCCCTCCAGTCAGAACCCAGGGTTTGTTCCTACAGTCTCATCTCTTTTTGCAGTTTTCACTTTTTCACACAGTTTACTTGCAATAAAAATGCCTAAAAACAACAACAACAACAACAAGTATGTAAAACATAGTGAATACAGTCTGAGTGGATTTGAACAGTTTACTGCTGTAAAGTCAAACGTTGTTAATAACAGCGGAGGGAAACTCCTCCTGTTGTAATTACAGACCTTCACATTCTCCATCATCTGTTCCAGTGAATCACTGAGCTGGAAAGAACCAGGCAGAGCGCAACAAAACGAAAATAAACCTTTAAGACAGTTTAACTGGAACGTACGGTGGCTTTAGAGTGCAAAACACAACAAAACACATGTTGTTGTTGTCCTATTTGCTGTTGTGATTTGCACTTCTGTCTGTTGTGTCTCATTAAATCAGTCGTACACACAGATCGCTAACAGCTGGCAAACCTGGCTAGAACGTGTTGTATTGGTCGACCTGGAGCAGAGCATTAGCTGAGCCCTGATTAATAACATGTTAAATAAAACAACCCCAGAAGAACATTGAAATCGTTTATATTGAAGATTTAATTGACAGAAACTAATTTATATCTTTTGAACAACAAGTATAAACTCCCAGTAAAGAGTTTCTGGAAGTCCTGGCAGCTGTGGAGCTGAATCCTGACACGCCTTAGACAATCAGCACTCGATACAGGACTCAGATACAGGACTCAGATACAGGACTCAGATACAGGACTCAGATAGAGGCTGGAACAGGATCAGAGCTCTAAAAGGAAAACATGCTTTTATAAACGTCTGAGGAGGTCTGAGTCGCCTAAAGGCCCTTAAGAGAGAGAGACATTTTTATTTGTCAAATATGCTATACTACATGCACGACATACAGCACAGATGAAATTTCAGTCCTCTCGGACCCACGGTGCAAACAGGCAATAAAATAATAATAATAACACAAAAAAGATGCACAGTTCTAACTAAGTAAGTGAATAGAAAAGACATAAAATAAACAGACAACAGTTGAGGTATTTACAGAAAGTGAGGTAGTGCGGTGTAGTGCAAAAATCATTATCCCAGGATTGCCATTTCATTCAGAAGACCATCAATAATGTAATTTTGAAAGTAATCTATTCGAAAACCCCCAAACAACCTACAGGCATCAATATCAACATTAGACAGTACTAACTAAGACAAACGGTAGACCAGTAGTAGCAGAGACCCAGCCACACGTCTCGAAATATCTGCACACACACACCACACACACACACGTGCAGTCATTTACCTCCACAATTCTACCCCTCATTAATTCTCTCCAGTTCTACCTTTCTAACACTCATAACAACTACAGCAGAACAGCAGCCCACACCCGCTCTCACCCTCTTCTCTCTCCTCACCTCCCACCTTCTTTCATTCTTCTAACTTATTCACCGAATCCCCTCGTTCCATATCCATCTCCTCTCTATGATCAAACATACCATAATATATCATACCATCCTTCAAAGGAAAACTCGAGACATCTCAACCAGTCAGTAATTCTCATTCCATATCCAAAAACCTCACCCGTACGCTTATCGTTATGGGGAAGTATTCCAGAAAAGTTATTGCAGATTAACGCAAGTATACACACTCAACCTCATCGTGCTACCGTGTCAGGTACGGTGATACTTGGCCATTGTCGTTCTTCTGATCGCCTGAGTTAGCCCTACACAAACCACGACTCACTAGGAATTTTCTCCGAGAGTCCTACAGAGAGACATGAACAGACACTAAACAACTGTTTATTAAACCGAATGCCAGAGTGACTCCCTTCCCCACACAACTCTTATCATTAAAATATTCAGACAAAGGAACAAATTGTAAAACACAGGTTCTTATACGCTCACTCGTTGGCAATGGTGGACAACAATCACATCCTACCCAGATGCGTCACCTGTTCTATCCCTACACTCATCAGCTACCATCTCCTCTCCTCTCAATCTCTCCGGTTCTCTCTTGCCCTTTCTCCAGCAGATAAAACCAGAAAGCCTGATGTAATGTGACAGTGTGGTTTTGGTTCGTTGTTTGCTCCCTGAACAACCAGGAAATGGCTTTCATCTTACCAAAAAACTCTGCACTCCTGTATATTAAGGACATTCAATCCTTATTATGAGGGGCTGAGGGTAATTGGACGGTTTAATGCATCTCATTTAATGGCACGTATTGAGGGCCCAAGATCTACGAGGCTTTTGTGGGCGTTTCGTCGCAGATGTGACGCGTTTTGGCCCCAAACGACACCGTGTTATTTCGTACAAAACAAGTACACTCAGTTGGAGTTGCAGTTTAAATGTCATTTTTAGCAACGTTTTGCAGCCCCTTCCTCCCCTCTCCCACAGGAAACAGCAGACAAAACAGGACAGACAGGACAGACATGCAGGCAAACACAGACACTCCCTCCCCTCCTCGTACATAAATATTGCGCATCCATTAAACAATCAGAATCAACATAGAGTGCTATTTAATGGTAAGTGATATGATGCATAATGAAATCTCCTTGACCAATACACATATTATGCTTAACACACAGAAGGCATACTAATACGTAAGAAATGTCATAATAATTAAAGCTCCAGTGTGTTTTGCGATATTGACATTATACGAACCCAAAATGACATTTATTATGTAGACAAGAAAATGGATTAAATTAAAAAACTATATAATATACAATACAAAAACAATTCACACTTACAAGTACATAAAAGCATGTTCCTTTACCGCGTGGTACTCACTGACTCAACACGACATCAATATATTATTACAATAAGACACAAATTAAGGATCATTAGTTATGTAAATTTCCCCAACAACACTCCTAGGATGAATGTAAAGAATGTGATGATAGAACTTACTAAAACATGATAAGCGAAAGCTAGGTCCTTACCAATATTCCAAGAGAGTTAGGCCATCATCTCTGAACTACACTAGTATATAATCATACAGAAGCCCAGAAATCAGGAACAAA